GGTCCCTCAGAAGATTTCTTGATTCTTTGTTTTGGGAGCTTGCTGAAGCCATCATGGTCTGCCTCTTTATGTGATTTGATATTGACTGTTGTCTCTGAGCCATCAATAAATTATTACATTTGTTTATTTTATGTTTTCTTACTGTGTCCTAGCTTCTTGTTTTGTTTTGATATGCCCAAATAGGCTGCTCTTGTGAGCTAGTTTGATTATTACTACATTTGAAGCTCTAATGTCTTGTCACCAATTGGTTAGATCTGGTACTAGGTATTGTGAGCCCAGGAGTCTGTTTACTTTCTTGTATGGATTCAGCTCAGGTGTCCAGGTGGTTGGTCACCATGTGTGTGGTGCAAGCTCTTGCCTACAGTCCCAGATGGGCAGGGGTGACTGGAGTAGGCCTAGATATCTGGCTGTAGTAGGGGTTCACATGCTGAGCAAGGCAGGGGACTGACGGCTGCCCCTGAGTGTCTGGGAGGAAAGTGTGTCCCTGTTCCCTAGAGTGCGTAGTTGGGTGGGTTTTGAAGCTGGACTATGGGCACCCAATGCTGTTGGCTGTAAGGACTGGGAAGTACCACTTATTCTTGGACCCCTGTTGCAGGTGGCTAGGTGGCGTGAGTGGAGCCACTAGTCCTCAGGCCCCTGATGTGGGTAGGTGAGGACCCTGCTTAATGGGCAGAGAAGTGTCAAATGTCAAACCTGCCGCTGCACCGTATAGCTGATACAGTTGAAGTTAAGCTTCAGGCATATACCCTGTTGTGCAAATGAGGGCCTAAGCTGTTGAAATGGGCCCACGCAGGTATAGGCAGTGGTGAAAGGCATTCAAAGTCCATGGACCCCTTATGTATGTGCCTAGGCCAACGAGCTGTACCTGCCCTGAGTTTCCTGGCTTAGGGTAGCTGGCAGATTATTGTTCCCTGTTTGTTAATTTGTTCCCTCTCCAAGGCTGGGAGAATGGCTCGGGGCATGTGATGGGTCCTACTTCTGGCCCAGGGGACACAGCATTCACTGAACCCAGCCGGGAACCTGGTGCAGAGTGGAGAGGAGGCAGGTAAATGGAAGAGAGGTTCTTCCCAGATGGGGTGTTTTTTGATTCGTGTGGTGGGTTAGACACATGTACTTATGATTTGCTGATTGAGCGCTGCTTTTCACTGGCTTTGGAGGCTTGAGTAGACTCTCTGCCGCTTGGTCTCTCCCAATGTGGAAAACGCATCCTGAGTGCCACTACTTGCCTCACCACGCATGCCAGCTGGTCCAGCCTGTGGAGTGCTTGTTCCCGCCGGGTCAGGTCTGGCAATTCCTCACTACTTCCAAACTGTCTCTCCCTTTCCCCGCTGCTCAGTCTGATTCCTCAACTTTGCCTTTGATGTTTAGGGCTCCTAGACTTTCGTATATAATCGATTCACTTGTTTCTTTGGGTCTTTGTTGTAAGAGGGACCACAGGAAGCGTCTGGCTACTCTGCCATCTTGGCCCTGCCCTCTTGTTCACCCCCAAACTTGAGACCACTTTAGTAATGTATATACAATCTGGTCTTTCTTCTCTATCTGCACTGTGATGGCCTTACTAGGCCAGTTTTTTAAGACTCTTTCATGAAGTGTCTAATTTCTCTTCCTTTTACCTCTTTTCAGTTCTTGAGTCAACTTTAACTTAGCATATAAATACTTTATTTTAAGGTATTTATTTACTTTATCTTAATACAGAAAGCACTGGACAATTTGGACCCTACTTTTCCAGCCTTTTCATACCATTCGCCTACGAATATTTTTCTTATGAGGCATTGAACTCCTCATTATTACTCAGACACACTGAGCTTTTAATACTCTCTACCTTGGAAAGTACCATTCTAGTCTTATTCTTTTAGAGAAAACTTGAAGACCAACTTGAATGTCAACTAGCTGCAACCTTCTCCAGTGGTTCAGTGTGTTAGTTGGATCACTTTATTTAAGTCTTGGATTTTCCCTTAACAGACTGCTAATAATATTTTTTTCATGTCTGCATCTCACCATTGAGGGTAAGTTCTTAGAGAAAAGATACTTTGTCTCATTCATCATTGTTTGCCAAGAAATTTGAATAATGCTTGGCATGTGAAAAGAGCTTAATAAATATTTATTTATCAACAAATTTTCTCTTATGGGATAAACTTTATGTGGCATTAAAGACTCAAAATTTTTCTGACCATATCCTTGAAGGCTTTTTTCACTTGCTGGTTCCTTAGGGTATAAATGAAGCTATTCAATAGGGGAGCAACAGAAGCAACCTTCTTTTGCTGAGGGTTTAATGTAAATGAAGATGCAGCTGCCATAAGAGATGGAGATGACAATTACGTGGGAAGAACACGTGGAAAAGGTCTTTTTTCTTTGTTGTGGTGATGGGATCTTTAGAATAGTTTTGATGATGTAAGTGTATGAAAGCATCACCAGCACCAGGGTGATCACCAAGGTCACAATTGCTAAGATGAAGTCAATCAGCTCCAAGAGGCTGGTGTCTGAGCAGGAGATCTCCATGAGGGGCCCATAGTCACAATAAAAATGATCCAGCATGTTGAAGGCACAGAAATCTAGCTGGCTAGTCAGGATGATGGGGGATAAGATGATTAGGAAACCACTCATCCAAGAGCAGAGAACCAGCTGTGTGCAGACTCTGCTGTTCATGATGGTTGTGTAATGCAGAGGTTTGCAGATGGCCACATAGCGATCATAGGACATGGCAGCCAGAACGTAAAACTCTGTGGCCCCGAGGAATATGGCAAAGAAATACTGAGTGAAGCAGCCAGCAAAGCTGATGGTATTATTCCCGGTTAGGATGCTGCTCAGGAATCTTGGAATGAAAATAGTAGTGAAAGAAATTTCTAAGAAGGAGAAATTCCAAAGGAAGAAATACATAGGGGTCTGGAGATGGGAGTCTAGCAGGGTGAGGGTGATGATTGTCAGGTCACCCATGACACCAGATATGTAGGTGAAGAGTAGGAAGATAAAAATCATAACCTGAAGCTCTCGGTTGTCTGTAAATCCCAGTGGGACAAACTCAGCCAAAGCAGTTTGATTTTTCATGATTAGCCTTTGTTGGATTCTTAAAAAGAAACAGAAAGAAATCAGTGATGAGTGTGGAATAGAAGCTGAAGATGTCAGAGATGAACCTGGTACATGAAATCAACTCATACACATTTCCTTTGTTTTTTACTAACATATTGCACTTGAGTTAACTTCTTGGAAACAGCAATTTTTTGGTACAAAGGTCCCATTAATAATTTTTTTGACAGATCCTTCTATGCTAGGATTTTTTATACTCCATGCAGAAAAAACATAAAACTGTAATCTGTTCTAGGTGCTGCTTACTTACTTTCTTCTACCAACTCACTGCTTTAGTGACTGTCGTGGTCAAGTGAGATCCATCCAGTTCTGGTGTGTACATGTTACAACATTTGGAGAACTTTTTGAAATCACACTCTTAGTAAGACTGTAAAAGTCTTAGTTGACAGTAGTGTTTCAGGCTTTGGAATGAATGATAACTATAAATGTTTACCTTCTTTTACTAGCATGTGTAATAAAAACTACAATGGCATGCAATTAAATTATAGGATACAATTCCAATTCTGACACACTAATGAGTTAGAGTTAACTCCTTCTTCCTCTCTGCTTAAAATTTTCTTCCTTCAGATTCTTTCTGATTTTCCTGTATTCTCCACGCCATTCTTGCCCTTGTAAAGAGACTTATCATTTGCAAACAATTCTTAATTTATTCCATATGCAATTGTCAAAGTTTACTTGAAATACACTCTGATCCACCTTTTTTTCTTCTTACTGTCCATCCTTTGTGAAATGCCAGCTGATTCTAACTAAATTGTAGGAAATGGCAGAACCTTGCTGTGTTTTGAATTCTTCTCTAATATAAATATCCCATATTTTTTTCTTGGGTACTCTTTTTTTCTTACATCAGTGTGTCTTCCTTGATGTAGTGATAAGGAGGGTTTTATATTACTCACTTGGTGGAGAGAGTAATGTCCGTTTTAGGACCTGAATTTAAGTCCCCTCAGTGTTCAGTAACTTTGCTTCTGTAACAACATTGAACAGTCTCTGGTAACAGTAGCCTAGGAATGTAACTATGGAGTAATGTTTGCCTCCTTGGTTGTACTAGCTTCTATTAAGTTCCTACAACTTTATAGGTGGTTGGAAAGTATTGTTGAATTAGTGAGGGTCTCTCTCTAACATGCCATATTTTCTTTCATTTGCATTCCCTATTTCCATTCCTTTCCTCTGATTTTACTCATGTCTCTTCCCCCTCAAAGCAAAGTGAATACATTTGATCTTCTAAATGATTTTATCATCTCTCCTACTATTCTCCTGAGTGAATTCCCAGTGGCTCTTGCCTTACCCTCTGTCCCTGTCTTCCAGGTAGAATTTGAAGGCTTCTGGCTTAGACCCAAGTCCTGCTATAGTTTGAGTCACCCTTGTACATGGCTTGGGCTCAGTTGTCATTAATCTGTATTGATCTACATGCTTTTTGCTAAAATCAGAGTCTCTGAGGCACTGATCTAATAATTACTAATGGGAGAAGAGATACAGTGTTCAGGAGTGGTTCCCAGTGAATGATGTAAAGTCTCTTGAATGACGAAGTTAATCATGACATGGATGCCTTTTGATTCTCTCCTTGTTTCCAATATGGGAAATGACCACTTTCTGTGTGACATAAATGTAACCTTATCAAATAGAGCAGAGAAAGCTCTCATCCATCCTCTCCTAGGTTTTTGGACATAAGTCTTTTATAGACAGGATCTGTAGGTCATGTCACTTCTGACTGCCTCCTTCAGAATTCTATAGGGAGAGACACATCTGGGCCTTCTTTAGCAATGTGCATATCAGACCCTCCATTATGTCATTGAGTTGATGTAGTCATTGCTTATACTCACACGCTGTACACAGTAAACCGTATAATTCATTGACATCTATAACTCAGTGTTCTTCTTCTGCTTACCTGCTATGCATTTCCTTCCAGAAATTCACAATCAAATCATTTTAATGATTCAAAACCTTAGAAAGATAATATTACAGTTTTTGAAACCTGAGACCATACTTACTCTGGTTAATATAGATGGTTGCAGTGGAGTTTTAATCCTAAGTATTCTAAATTATAAATCAAAGATTAGACGTTAGGTAGGATAAATTTCTAAAATCTTTTCTACCTGCCTTATATCACATCCTGGTGTACTCTTTCACAGAGTTATGTAAGCTTTCATAGGTTTTTGGTAAATAAATGAATTCCATTTCTTCCCATCCCGTATCAGTCTGGTGGGCATTCATCAGCTTTTCTTCCCATACTAATTTGAACAGTAAAAGAAAATGAGACCCAGAGAGATGTTATACTGTCTGTGTAGAACAAATAGAATAGTTAAAAGTTCCAGGAGAAAGATGTGCTTCAAAATATTATTTCCTTCTTTCTAATTATGTCTCAAGTAGAAAGAAGCTGGCAATTCCTACAATATAGACATTGCCTTCTTTGCAGGTTCTGCATCACCCAGAGTGAGGCAGTTTTTATTTGCTTTGTTCAGAGAAAACACTAGGGATTAACTAAGTTAACAACAGAAGGTCTCCTGTGATCTATCTTCAGAAGGTCCTAATGAACCTCCTTTATTGACAAGTTGGGAGTGAACTTGAAATAGATGGCAGAGGAAAGAGGTTACAGAGAGAGTGGTTAATTATGTAGTATGAGCACATCATTACCTTTGAGACATGGTCCAAATGTTGGAGTAATTGTGCTTGTCTCTTAGGGTCTACAGTGTTGTCCAGAGCCTAATTTGGCATGATGGCCACCTGGAGTTGCCAGGAGTGCTTAGGTCTAGAAGCCTGGTGAAAACTGGATCCAAGAGATAGTAGAACTGGAGTCATAACTGGAAAAGCCAATTCTCTCCTTATGTGTAAGGGCTATTCTGGGAACAAGTGATAAATCTAAAGTGTAATGAATCAGATAAAGGCAAGAATGAAGTAGGAAGTGAGTGGAGAAGGCTGGATTGAAGGAAAAAGCCTAAGATACTTGCTGAGAAAATGACATTTAGATGCAAAAAATATTATTTTATCAAGTTCTGGCTGGGTGCTGCAAGTTAATATAATGTTTAAAAGCACCATACTTCTTCAGTTTACATACTCCTGCCTGGAATAATGAATCTGGGTTTTAAAAAAATGTTTTGTTGATGAAAGGTCATAATATGATTGGAGGACATTCTTGAAGTAAGAAACTTGTTTCAAATGTGATCTGACTTTACTAGATTTCCTGTGGAACTAAGTGTTTGACCCAGTGGGTTAAATGGGTCAGTGACCTGCTCTAATCACCTCAAGGGAATGACATAATACCTTTGTTTACGTTTTTTCCCCGTTGGAAACACAAGTAGCTTTACTGGTAGAGTGGCTTTTTAGTCAAGGATCTTTGCTATTTAAGGCACAGAAACTTTCTTAAGCTAGCCCAAGTAAAAGATATTCATGCTAGGGATGTGCTAGGTAATCTAATGACTATAGGTCCTCATGGGAACCGACACTAGGAAACTTCAAGCATTAGAAGCTGCTTTTTCTCCCTCTCATGGTCCTATGGTCTCTCATCTCCCCAATCCTAGAGGTCATAAGGGGCTCTTAGCTTTATATTTCTCTGTTTTCTCTCTCTTGAATGATGTTCTATACTTGAACATGATCCAACATTTAACCACAAATAACAACAAGCATTTATTGAGCCCCTACTTTCCCCAGGCACTATTCATGTACTGAGAACACAGCAGTGAATAAAGCAAATAAAAATTACTGTTCTCATGAAGCTTTACATTCCACGGGAAGAGGAACACACATTAATACATAAATGAAATACATATTTTGTTGGCGAATGATAAATGTTAAGGAGAAAAATGGAGTAAGTAATGAGCATACGGAATTTTGATGAGTGGATTGCAATTTAAAAAATGTGACCATACACATCCTCCCTGAGGAGGTGACATTTGAGTAAATATTTGAAGGAAGTGAGAGAGTGAGCTATGTAGAGATCTTGGGGAAAAGTATTCCAGGAAGAGGGAAAAAAGTTAAGTTCAAAGGCCAGAAGGTGGAAGCAGGCCAGCGTGACTGGAGTGGAGTGAGTAAGCGGATAGTGGTAGGAGATGAGGTCAGAAATGTACTGGGGACCAATTTGTAGGGCCTTGTAAGACACTATAAGTGAGTGAGAAAGTCATTGGAAGGTTCTGAGTGGAGAAGGTTCTGAGCGGAGAAGTTTCTAAGCTCTAATTTATGTTTTAATAGGATCCCTTTGGGTGTTATGTTGAGATTAGTTGGGAAGGGAGCAAGGGTTGAAGAAAGCATATCAAATAGGTGGCTGTTGTAATAACCCAGGTTAGAAATGATAGAGGTTTGGGTCAGGATGGTAACAATAAAGGTGGTGAGAAATGGTCAGATTTTGGGTAAATTTTACAGGTAAAGGATTTACTCATGGACCAGATATGGGAAAACAAGAGAAGAGCCAAGATTTTTGGCTTGAGCAAGTGGAAAATCCAATTGCCAAATACTGAAGCGGAGGAACACTGTGAAAAGAGATTTTTTTAGGGGAGAATAATGTCTTCGTTATTTCGTTCTCATTACAGCTTTTGTGGCAATAATTTGCTCTGCCCAATATCCCTTAGCCAATTCTGCTTACAACTTGGCTTACAATTTGGAAAGGATGTTACGTATTGTATCCTATAGGATACACCTTTTGCAGACAACTTCTCGTGTGCCTTTTCCTCTGTGTGTGTGGGCAGTTCACATTTCTAGGATCTTATGCAGTTGTTAATTAGCTTTGGCGAGTAGGTTTTGGATGGAGAATTTAATTGCAGATTCAAGA